TACTCCACTCAGTCGAGCCCGACTCCAAACCAAACTGGCGCAGCATCAGCAGCAGCCGAAACTGCTCGTGAGCCGAGGGCAAAAGGGCAGCCGAAAAATAAAGAGAAAGAGGATGTAGGTTCACTCATACGGTCGGTCAGTGGGTCAGTCGGCGCTTAAAAGTATGCTACAATAAATGGCTATAGCATGTTCAACTGGCTGCGCCTACCTATCAGACTGATGTACCCCACTTACCCCCCAAATTGGACAGTGGACATTCTTCGTCTCCGCCTTTGTCAATAGAGCCTCTGTTCTTTTACTTTCCCTGCCTATATTCTCGTATTCGTTTCCGGCTCTCAGTTTTTGGTTTTTGCAGGCACCATCTGTATGGTTTGATTGGTTTTGGCTGTCGGTATATATTTCACCGTTTTGGCTTGGGCAATTGGGATTTCGTTTTCAAAAACTGGGGAAACAAAAATTGAGGCAAGCACCATGTACACGCTCACACACACACGCATGCCCACGATATATATATACATATATGAGTCTGACTGTTGTTCTTGCTGTATTGGGGGGAGCAGTGTGGGAAGAAAGAAGCAAGACACAAGACTGTCCACCGTCCACTATATCACAAGTTCATGGCGAGCCAGGCGACGACGACGACCCAGAAGCGAAATGAAATGGCGACGCGACCCGGAACTCGACTCGAAGAAAAAAAACTATCAGACGTCCGAAGGCAAACGCTGCCAGAGATCAACTATATTTCGGCGATCGATCTACTCCACTCAGTCGAGCCCGACTCCAAACCAAACTGGCGCAGCATCAGCAGCAGCCGAAACTGCTCGTGAGCCGAGGGCAAAAGGGCAGCCGAAAAATAGAGAGAGAGAGGATGTAGGTTCACTCATACGGTCGGTCAGTGGGTCAGTCGGCGCTTAAAAGTATGCTACAATAAATGGCTATAGCATGTTCAACTGGCTGCGCCTACCTATCAGACTGATGTACCCCACTTACCCCCCAAATTGGACAGTGGACATTCTTCGTCTCCGCCTTTGTCAATAGAGCCTCTGTTCTTTTACTTTCCCTGCCTATATTCTCGTATTCGTTTCCGGCTCTCAGTTTTTGGTTTTTGCAGGCACCATCTGTATGGTTTGATTGGTTTTGGCTGTCGGTATATATTTCACCGTTTTGGCTTGGGCAATTGGGATTTCGTTTTCAAAAACTGGGGAAACAAAAATTGAGGCAAGCACCATGTACACGCTCACACATACACACACACGCATGCCCACGATATATATATACAAATATGAGTCTGACTGTTGTTTTTGCTGTATTGGGGGGAGCAGTGTGGGAAGAAAGAAGCAAGACACAAGACACAAGACTGTCCACCGTCCACTATATCACAAGTTCATGGCGAGCCAGGCGACGACGACGACCCAGAAGCGAAATGAAATGGCGACGCGACCCGGAACTCGACTCGAAGAAAAAAAACTATCAGACGTCCGAAGGCAAACGCTGCCAGAGATCAACTATATTTCGGCGATCGATCTACTCCACTCAGTCGAGCCCGACTCCAAACCAAACTGGCGCAGCATCAGCAGCAGCCGAAACTGCTCGTGAGCCGAGGGCAAAAGGGCAGCCGAAAAATAGAGAGAGAGAGGATGTAGGTTCACTCATACGGTCGGTCAGTGGGTCAGTCGGCGCTTAAAAGTATGCTACAATAAATGGCTATAGCATGTTCAACTGGCTGCGCCTACCTATCAGACTGATGTACCCCACTTACCCCCCAAATTGGACAGTGGACATTCTTCGTCTCCGCCTTTGTCAATAGAGCCTCTGTTCTTTTACTTTCCCTGCCTATATTCTCGTATTCGTTTCCGGCTCTCAGTTTTTGGTTTTTGCAGGCACCATCTGTATGGTTTGATTGGTTTTGGCTGTCGGTATATATTTCACCGTTTTGGCTTGGGCAATTTGGATTTCGTTTTCAGTAACTGGGGAAACAAAAATTGAGGCAAGCACCATGTACACGCTCACACATACACACACACGCATGCCCACGATATATATATACAAATATGAGTCTGACTGTTGTTTTTGCTGTATTGGGGGGAGCAGTGTGGGAAGAAAGAAGCAAGACACAAGACACAAGACTGTCCACCGTCCACTATATCACAAGTTCATGGCGAGCCAGGCGACGACGACGACCCAGAAGCGAAATGAAATGGCGACGCGACCCGGAACTCGACTCGAAGAAAAAAAACTATCAGACGTCCGAAGGCAAACGCTGCCAGAGATCAACTATATTTCGGCGATCGATCTACTCCACTCAGTCGAGCCCGACTCCAAACCAAACTGGCGCAGCATCAGCAGCAGCCGAAACTGCTCGTGAGCCGAGGGCAAAAGGGCAGCCGAAAAATAGAGAGAGAGAGGATGTAGGTTCACTCATACGGTCGGTCAGTGGGTCAGTCGGCGCTTAAAAGTATGCTACAATAAATGGCTATAGCATGTTCAACTGGCTGCGCCTACCTATCAGACTGATGTACCCCACTTACCCCCCAAATTGGACAGTGGACATTCTTCGTCTCCGCCTTTGTCAATAGAGCCTCTGTTCTTTTACTTTCCCTGCCTATATTCTCGTATTCGTTTCCGGCTCCCTGTTTGGTTTTTGCAGGCACCATCTGTATGGTTTGATTGGTTTTGGCTGTCGGTATATATTTCACCGTTTTGGCTTGGGCAATTTGGATTTCGTTTTCAATAACTGGGGAAACAAAAATTGAGGCAAGCACCATGTACACGCTCACACATACACACACACGCATGCCCACGATATATATATACAAATATGAGTCTGACTGTTGTTTTTGCTGTATTGGGGGAGAGCAGTGTGGGAAGAAGCAAGAAACAAGACACAAGACTGTCCACCGTCCACTATATCACAAGTTCATGGCGAGCCAGGCGACGACGACGACCCAGAAGCGAAATGAAATGGCGACGCGACCCGGAACTCGACTCGAAGAAAAAAAACTATCAGACGTCCGAAGGCAAACGCTGCCAGAGATCAACTATATTTCGGCGATCGATCTACTCCACTCAGTCGAGCCCGACTCCAAACCAAACTGGCGCAGCATCAGCAGCAGCCGAAACTGCTCGTGAGCCGAGGGCAAAAGGGCAGCCGAAAAATAGAGAGAGAAAGGATGTAGGTTCACTCATCGGTCAGTGGGTCAGTCGGCGCTTAAAAGTATGCTACAATAAATGGCTATAGCATGTTCAACTGGCTGCGCCTACCTATCAGACTGATGTACCCCACTTACCCCCCAAATTGGACAGTGGACATTCTTCGTCTCCGCCTTTGTCAATAGAGCCTCTGTTCTTTTACTTTCCCTGCCTATATTCTCGTATTCGTTTCCGGCTCTCAGTTTTTGGTTTTTGCAGGCACCATCTGTATGGTTTGATTGGTTTTGGCTGTCGGTATATATTTCACCGTTTTGGCTTGGGCAATTTGGATTTCGTTTTCAGTAACTGGGGAAACAAAAATTGAGGCAAGCACCATGTACACGCTCACACATACACACACACGCATGCCCACGATATATATATATATACATATATGAGTCTGACTGTTGTTTTTGCTGTATTGGGGGGAGCAGTGTGGGAAGAAAGAAGCAAGACACAAGACACAAGACTGTCCACCGTCCACTATATCACAAGTTCATGGCGAGCCAGGCGACGACGACGACCCAGAAGCGAAATGAAATGGCGACGCGACCCGGAACTCGACTCGAAGAAAAAAAACTATCAGACGTCCGAAGGCAAACGCTGCCAGAGATCAACTATATTTCGGCGATCGATCTACTCCACTCAGTCGAGCCCGACTCCAAACCAAACTGGCGCAGCATCAGCAGCAGCCGAAACTGCTCGTGAGCCGAGGGCAAAAGGGCAGCCGAAAAATAGAGAGAGAGAGGATGTAGGTTCACTCATACGGTCGGTCAGTGGGTCAGTCGGCGCTTAAAAGTATGCTACAATAAATGGCTATAGCATGTTCAACTGGCTGCGCCTACCTATCAGACTGATGTACCCCACTTACCCCCCAAATTGGACAGTGGACATTCTTCGTCTCCGCCTTTGTCAATAGAGCCTCTGTTCTTTTACTTTCCCTGCCTCTGGTTTTTGCCTGTGTGAAATGGCAGCAACAATTCGCATCGTATTACAATACGAATAAACAAAGTCACATGACAGATGACAGCAACCAGAAGCATTTTTTCATTTGCATTTGTGAATTTTACGCGAGAGAGAGACTACAGCCCTACTTGTTAAGAAATATCCATTCGATTATTCTACCAATTATGGATGTGAAAACAAACTCGACCAATGCCTGTGACAGCACGGGAATAAGATTTCGCGAACAATATTTTTGTATGGATAGTAATGGCTTTTTTAAAAACGCTGAGCTCTAACGCTAATTCAAAGAAAAATGTGGGAAGAAACAACAAAAACGAGACTCTAATTCTAAATATGAATTGGCTTTTAAACTGTCAAAGAGAGAGAGAAAAGGGAAAAGAGAAAAACCGTCCAATTGTCAGTCTGTCAGTCTATCACAGTGTGGGATATAAATTGGCGGGTCAAAATTCCATTTTATTGGCCTACCGTCATGTGTGCTGACTGTGTTTAATTCACAAGAGAGATCCAACAAAAAGAATATACAAAAACATACTAGTATTTGCGGGGCGCTCCAAGCGATAGTTAGTCAAAAGTGATCAAATTAATCGAAATGGCAAAAACTATTCCAACTATCGGGGAGGCTAAACAGAGTAGTGGCAATGTGTTAAAAAGTGTATTGGCGATATAAATAAATTACTATAGGTAGCTGGCTGCCACCTGGTCAATAAATAAGAATAAATTAACTTGCAAGGGGGGTGGGGGATTTTAAAAATTTTATCGAGGGCTGGGCAAATTGTTTTGGCTATCGATAGTTCCATGGGGAGAAGGGTCAAGAAGGTGGGGACTTTAAAATATTTACAATTGGACCATGGAAACATTTAAACAGCACAACAAACTAAAAACAAATTAAAATACAATATGATACAAATAAACTACAAGGACAAAAAGAGGATAGCAAGGAGAAGGAAAAAAGGTAAGAGATGAATAAAAGGGGGGGGATGTGCATGCCTACAATTGCATTTGTAATGGCCATTTGAAAATAAATTTCAATTGGACGACTGGCAAGAAGAAGAGTAACATTGCTTACATTCGACAATTGCAGTCTGTCCCGTACAATATGTAGGCATGGCAAGCATCCAGTAATGGCTTGTGGAAAACAATTTAAAAAGAAACACAGATACATGCAAAAATAAAAGAGAAAACAAATTACGTTTACTTACAATCAGACGAAACGGCAAGGTACGTACAATCATAAAATACATAAACACAACAGTTTTTCCTTATAATTAATCTGTTTTTCTTGTCTATTTTGTACTAACAGGAGGACGAGCAACAACAAAGCACCAGCAGGCATGAGCAGAGGCAATGCAGTAGTTGCATTGTCCCGTCAATACCGGCCAGCTCCGTCATCCTCCTGTACCACAGCCATGCTGCTGGATTATGGGCGTCTCAGTTGTGTAGTGGCATGTTGGATAGGAAACGCCGTCGTCAATGTATTAATGGCCTCCAGAAGTTAAAGAGTACAGCAGTTGTGGTCCATCGAGCGGCAATCTGGTCCGGCCGCCCGGAAGTTGGCTGTGTGTCTGAGTGTGTGTGTGTGTGCCGCATCAAGTATTCGGGAATGGCTTCAAAACTCACCCAAGCTGGCTGGCATGGCATGGCCAGGCCAATGTGAGTGAAGGCAGGCTAAAGCAGCACACAAACACAGACACAGATGCAGATGCAGCAACGAGCGACGAACTGGTCCGGCCGCCCGTGCCTTGTCATAGTTGTAGTGGCTTGTGGCGTACAAGGTGTCTGCGTATGTACATACATCATTTCGAGCGACAAACGGGTCCGGCCGCCCAAAAAGTGTACCGCATCGTGGAGTCATAATAGTCGATCAATGAATGGCAACTGTTCCGGCCACCCAAAACCGACTGTGTGGGTGTTGCGTCAGTGTGCGAATTGGTGTATAATGAATCTGCACACCCACACACACAGGTGCAGCAACGAGCGACAAAACTGGTCCGGCCGCCCGTGCCTTGTCATATTTGTAGTGGCTTGCAGTGTTGGCTGGTCGAGGCAATCATTCTGAGCGACGAACGGGTCCGGCCGCCCAAAAATTGTATGCCACAATGCATAAAAGTCAAGTAGTGGCAGTCTGCCGCTCTCAGACGAAAACTCGAGCGACCAAAAGTTGGTCCGATCGCCCGAGCAATGTCTGCAATTGTAGTGGAGAGAAGTAGTGTTCGCTATTGGTGGTGGCAATTTTGTGTGTTTTTGCTAATTTATGTTAATTGTTTTTAGTGGCTGCTTCATATTTTAATTGCTTTTTCTTTCTTCTTTCTTTTTTGTAGTGGCATCTCTAGTAGTGGACGCCCTCGTCCATTTGGCTTTGATTGGACAACGCCCTGGCTATTTGGCCGCTCCAAATTCGGCTCAGATCGGCTATAGGATCCTCATCCGTCCACCCATCTTCGTCATCGTCATCATACTCGGAAGCATTCATCTCTGAATCATCCACCTCGAGGACAGGCGCCGGCTTTTCGAGTGGCAGTGGCAGCGTCCCAGGCGCCGATGGCTTCGCCAAAGGTTCATTCGACGATGATGCCGTCGCCTCCAATGGGCTTGGAGCCGAAGTAGGAGTGGCTGCAGCTGAGTTGCCATCAATGGTGGCCACATTCCTCGATGGCCTCTTCCGCTTGCGACCAGTGGCGGCCACTTTTTTGGCCGTAGTAGTGGCTGGATTGGTCACAATTTGCGGCGGCATCCGCGAGGCAATCTCTGGACGCAACAGACTGGTAAGTAGATGCATCATTTCCGCCAGTTTGGTTTCCATAGCAGCAATCTTTCTTGCAGTCTCCTGCCCGACACAGCCGTCCTCACCATTGCCACAGGAACGCATCGCAGCGCCACCGGCAACAATGCCTTCATCATCAATCCGCCCAGCAGGCCGCCGCTGATGTTGTTGGTGCTGTTGTTGTTGTTGCTGCTGTTGCTGCGGCTGGCGACGATGACGACGCTGCTGCTCTGTTGTTGTTGTTGTTGTTGCTGCCGTGATTGTTGAATGGCTGAGGACTGGCCGCGTCATTGGAATTGGCATTTGCAGCCTGCTGTCGATCCAAAGGGAGTCGCTGTTCATGTTGGTGCTGCCGCTGCCGCTGCTGCTGCTGCTGCTGCTGCTGCCGATTTTGGCCACGGCGATGGCTCTGCCGGCGTTGATGTTGGCGTGGCTGCAGCTGTTGCTGCTCCCCGGATGACTGCTGCAAAGAAGATCGCCAGCCCTGGCTCCTCCTGCTCACCCGCATCGCCATGATGTGCGACCTGAGGCGACTCCTAGCCCCCTTGTATGCCGGACATCCCTTATAGGCGCTAATGTGGGCACCCTGGCAATTGGCGCATTTGGACGGCAGATGCCTTGGCTTTGTGCATGTGATGGTTGAGTGCGGGCCGGCACACTTCATGCAGACGAAAGCCCTCCTGCAGTAGTTGCGAGTGTGGCCTAGGGATTGGCAGCGGTGGCACTGCACGGGATTGCGCGGAGTGGCTTGGCGCTCTATTGTCACCGACCGGCCACCAAGTTCAAGGAGCGCGAGAACCGAGTAATGGCCACGCTCTGGTTTTGGCGAGATGACGGCCTCGAAGATGCCATTGCTGCTGCAAGCTGAGGCCGAAACATCAACATTGCCGCCTACGCCGCTACTGTTGTTGTTGTTGCCACTGGCACCATTCACGGGCCGAGCCCTAATAAAAACGACATTATAACCCAACTCCTGCAGCTTTTCCTTGATCCAGTGGGTAGGAGTGGCATTGGGGAGACGGTGGATCAGGAGCCTGAGGCCACGCTCCTGGCTGGGCTGGTGCGTAAAGTGGCCATCGGGTGGTGGGGGGCCGCCGCCGCTGCTGCTACTGTTATTGGCGTTGGTGTTGTTGATGTTTATGCTGTTGGTGGTGGCAGTGTGAGGATTGGCAGCGGCAATGCTGAGAGCGTGAATGGGCATGGGATTGGCAGCGATGGCAATACGTGTTGGCAGCAATATATTTGGATTTGGATTTGGATTGGCGGGGGAGAGGGGGCGTTTTGGAGGGAGCCTGACGGTGGCTGGCTAAGCAGCTGTTGTTGTTGTTGTTGTCGCTGCTGCTGCATTTGCTGCTGCAATTGCTGCTGTTGTTGTTGTTGTTGCTGCTCCTGCAATTGCAGCTGTTGTTGTTGTTGCTGGCGCCGCAATTGGCGACGCCGTCGAACCACTTTAGGTGCCGGCCCCAGATCCTCATCCTCATCACCATAGTTGGCCTCGTCGTCGTCGTCATCAACAACGACGCCACCATCGGCGCCGCCACGCCTACCAAGATCAGCAAGCAAGGTACGCTTCCTCTTCCTCACGCTTGCCCCGCCCGCACCCAATATCGAGCACGTCATCGAACTCGAACCAGGCTCGAGGTTGGACAAGCCAGCCGTACCAGCCACTGTTGTTGTGTGTGTTGGTGTGGGTGTGAGTGCATTTGCAGTTGTAATGGCTTGGGCGAGAGCACTCTCAGCAACCTTTTGGCGAGTAGTGGGGAGAGCAGAGCAGGCCAGAGCCGAAGCCGAAGGGCACTGACCGCGACCAGAGTTCAGCGCACCCACGCATGCGCTCTCCGATGATCGTCGTCTCTGCTGTCGCTGCTGCTGGCTGCGCTGCTGCTGCAGCTGCTCACGACGACGACGATGCATTTGTAGTTGCTGTTCCCTCTCCCCATCCCCATCGCTTATCTCCATACTCCCACTGGCTGCACACTTGGACACTGGTGGCAGCAGAATAACTGCATTGGCATATGTGTGTGCTGGTAATGGGGAGACAGTGGTGGGGGGCAAGTGAGGGAATGTAATAGGCGGGCTTTTTGGCATCATATCGGCCACTCTCTTTGTGCTTGGCGGGAGATTCCCAAAGATGACCTTTGGGACGCAGGGTAATGGCTGTGCTGGCTGCACTCTCGTCATCTCACGCACAAGCACCTGTGTGTGTGTTGGTTTTGCTGCCGCTGGCCCGGAAGCCGGCACCTGCTCAGGCAGAGCCATCGTCGTCGGATTCGCTGCTTTTGGTTGTGGTAGTGGGGGCGGAATAAGCGCCAAAGACGCTGCAGCTGCAGCCGATGCTGCCATGGCCTCCATCTGAGTCATCACTGGCGATGATGGCGATGCTGCCGTTGTTGTTGTTGTTGCAGTTGTAGTTGCTGCTGCTGCTGCTGCTGCAGCAGGCGTCGGCGTACATGTGGATGCCGCCGGCCTGTGGCTAGTACAAGGAGTGGCAATAACCGTGCAATCAAACTCACCGTCACTCGCAGAGGAGGAGTCTGAATCGGACGTGGTTATGGAAATGGTGGTCGACAGTTCAATTTGCCGGGCGTCCTCAACATTGGCTGCAGCGGCTGCATTTGCATTTGCGGCAGCAGTAGTGGTGGTAGTTGTAGTGGTGGTAGTGATGATGGCGTCATCAATCACTGCTGCAGCGGCCAAGTGAGTATTGGCGCCTCTCACGCTTCTTCTCCTTGTTGTAGTTGCTGTTGTCGTCATCATCATCATTTCTTCTTCGTCGTCCATTTTAGTTGCTGCTGCTGCTGCTGCTGCTGGCCTCTTGCCGGTCGTCTCTCTTGTCCTCGACATATCGTCTTGTTGGTGGATTGGCATTGGATTCGTTGAGTTGGTATTGTCTTGAGATTAGTGGCAGGTATGCGACCCACTCCCCGACCCGTTACCGATCAATTAAAGCAACGCGTTTGGTATTTTAGTTGTTGTTGTATTTTTGTATATTTTTGTATATTTTCTTTGGATCAATTTGTTTCGTATTGGCTTAGTTTTGATTTAGTTGCAGTTTTAATTACAGTTTTTTATACATTTAAGTATACAAGTGTACGTATTGGACGCATGCACTCACACAAAGACAGTGAGAGGGGAATGAGAGAAGACACACACATGCACAGAGTCACAGGCACTAAGCACACACTCGTCCAAAATGGAGAGAGAGAGAGAGAGAGCGGCGGCACAGAGTCGTTGGGTCAGAACGGCGTGGGAGACAGAGACGACGATAGAGAGAGACACGACGAGACGGCGATAATGAAAATTGGCAATGGCGGCTGCGCGTCTGTCTGTCTAGCTGTCTGATTTTTTCACTTTTTTCCTCCCTTTTTTATTTGGTTATTTGGCACTCCACACACACAATATACACATATATATATATCTGCATGTACATAAAAGCACCATGGCACTGCCTACGTTGTCTATATATTCTCGTATTCGTTTCCGGCTCTCAGTTTTTGGTTTTTGCAGGCACCATCTGTATGGTTTGATTGGTTTTGGCTGTCGGTATATATTTCACCGTTTTGGCTTGGGCAATTTGGATTTCGTTTTCAGTAACTGGGGAAACAAAAATTGAGGCAAGCACCATGTACACGCTCACACATACACACACACGCATGCCCACGATATATATATATACATATATGAGTCTGACTGTTATTTTTGCTGTATTGGGGGGAGCAGTGTGGGAAGAAAAGAAGCAAGACACAAGACACAAGACTGTCCACCGTCCACTATATCACAAGTTCATGGCGAGCCAGGCGACGACGACGACCCAGAAGCGAAATGAAATGGCGACGCGACCCGGAACTCGACTCGAAGAAAAGCCAAGCTATCAGACGTCCGAAGGCAAACGCTGCCAGAGATCAACTATATTTCGGCGATCGATCTACTCCACTCAGTCGAGCCCGACTCCAAACCAAACTGGCGCAGCATCAGCAGCAGCCGAAACTGCTCGTGAGCCGAGGGCAAAAGGGCAGCCGAAAAATAGAGAGAGAGGATGTAGGTTCACTCATACGGTCGGTCAGTGGGTCAGTCGGCGCTTAAAAGTATGCTACAATAAATGGCTATAGCATGTTCAACTGGCTGCGCCTACCTATCAGACTGATGTACCCCACTTACCCCCCAAATTGGACAGTGGACATTCTTCGTCTCCGCCTTTGTCAATAGAGCCTCTGTTCTTTTACTTTCCCTGCCTCTGGTTTTTGCCTGTGTGAAATGGCAGCAACAATTCGCATCGTATTACAATACGAATAAACAAAGTGACATGACAGCAACCAGAAGCATTTTTTTCATTTGCATTTGTGAATTTTACGCGAGAGAGAGACTACAGCCCTACTTGTTAAGAAATATCCATTCGATTATTCTACCAATTATGGATGTGAAAACAAACTCGACCAATGCCTGTGACAGCACGGGAATAAGATTTCGCGAACAATATTTTTGTATGGATAGTAATGGCTTTTTTAAAAACGCTGAGCTCTAACGCTAATTCAAAGAAAAATGTGGGAAGAAACAACAAAAACGAGACTCTAATTCTAAATATGAATTGGCTTTTAAACTGTCAAAGAGAGAGAGAAAAGGGAAAAGGGAAAAAACCGTCCAATTGTCAGTCTGTCAGTCTATCACAGTGTGTGGGATATAAATTGGCGGGTCAAAATTCCATTTTATTGGCCTACCGTCATGTGTGCTGACTGTGTTTAATTCACAAGAGAGATCCAACAAAAAGAATATACAAAAACATACTAGTATTTGCGGGGCGCTCCAAGCGATAGTTAGTCAAAAGTGATCAAATTAATCGAAATGGCAAAAACTATTCCAACTATCGGGGAGGCTAAACAGAGTAGTGGCAATGTGTTAAAAAGTGTATTGGCGATATAAATAAATTACTATAGGTAGCTGGCTGCCACCTGGTCAATAAATAAGAATAAATTAACTTGCAAGGGGGGTGGGGGATTTTAAAAATTTTATCGAGGGCTGGGCAAATTGTTTTGGCTATCGATAGTTCCATGGGGAGAAGGGTCAAGAAGGTGGGGACTTTAAAATATTTACAATTGGACCATGGAAACATTTAAACAGCACAACAAACTAAAAACAAATTAAAATACAATATGATACAAATAAACTACAAGGACAAAAAGAGGATAGCAAGGAGAAGGAAAAAAGGTAAGAGATGAATAAAAGGGGGGGGATGTGCATGCCTACAATTGCATTTGTAATGGCCATTTGAAAATAAATTTCAATTGGACGACTGGCAAGAAGAAGAGTAACATTGCTTACATTCGACAATTGCAGTCTGTCCCGTACAATATGTAGGCATGGCAAGCATCCAGTAATGGCTTGTGGAAAACAATTTAAAAAGAAACACAGATACATGCAAAAATAAAAGAGAAAACAAATTACGTTTACTTACAATCAGACGAAACGGCAAGGTACGTACAATCATAAAATACATAAACACAACAGTTTTTCCTTATAATTAATCTGTTTTTCTTGTCTATTTTGTACTAACAGGAGGACGAGCAACAACAAAGCACCAGCAGGCATGAGCAGAGGCAATGCAGTAGTTGCATTGTCCCGTCAATACCGGCCAGCTCCGTCATCCTCCTGTACCACAGCCATGCTGCTGGATTATGGGCGTCTCAGTTGTGTAGTGGCATGTTGGATAGGAAACGCCGTCGTCAATGTATTAATGGCCTCCAGAAGTTAAAGAGTACAGCATGGTTGTGGTCCATCGAGCGGCAATCTGGTCCGGCCGCCCGGAAGTTGGCTGTGTGTCTGAGTGTGTGTGTGTGCCGCATCAAGTATTCGGGAATGGCTTCAAAACTCACCCAAGCTGGCTGGCATGGCATGGCCAGGCCAATGTGAGTGAAGGCAGGCTAAAGCAGCACACAAACTCAGAAACACAGACACAGATGCAGATGCAGCAACGAGCGACAAACTGGTCCGGCCGCCCGTGCCTTGTCATAGTTGTAGTGGCTTGTGGCGTACAAGGTGTCTGCGTATGTACATACATCATTTCGAGCGACAAACGGGTCCGGCCGCCCAAAAAGTGTACCGCATCGTGGAGTCATAATAGTCGATCAATGAATGGCAACTGTTCCGGCCACCCAAAACCGACTGTGTGGGTGTTGCGTCAGTGTGCGAATTGGTGTATAATGAATCTGCACACCCACACACACAGGTGCAGCAACGAGCGACAAAACTGGTCCGGCCGCCCGTGCCTTGTCATATTTGTAGTGGCTTGCAGTGTTGGCTGGTCGAGGCAATCATTCTGAGCGACGAACGGGTCCGGCCGCCCAAAAATTGTATGCCACAATGCATAAAAGTCAAGTAGTGGCAGTCTGCCGCTGCAGCGACTCGTATTGGCCACAAATCCCATCTCTCAGACGAAAACTCGAGCGACCAAAAGTTGGTCCGATCGCCCGAGCAATGTCTGCAATTGTAGTGGAGAGAAGTAGTGTTCGCTATTGGTGGTGGCAATTTTGTGTGTTTTTGCTAATTTATGTTAATTGTTTTTAGTGGCTGCTTCATATTTTAATTGCTTTTTCTTTCTTCTTTCTTTTTTGTAGTGGCATCTCTAGTAGTGGACGCCCTCGTCCATTTGGCTTTGATTGGACAACGCCCTGGCTATTTGGCCGCTCCAAATTCGGCTCAGATCGGCTATAGGATCCTCATCCGTCCACCCATCTTCGTCATCGTCATCATACTCGGAAGCATTCATCTCTGAATCATCCACCTCGAGGACAGGCGCCGGCTTTTCGAGTGGCAGTGGCAGCGTCCCAGGCGCCGATGGCTTCGCCAAAGGTGCATTCGACGATGATGGCGTCGCCTCCAATGGGCTTGGAGCCGAAGTAGGAGTGGCTGCAGCTGAGTTGCCATCAATGGTGGCCACATTCCTCGATGGCCTCTTCCGCTTGCGACCAGTGGCGGCCACTTTTTTGGCCGTAGTAGTGGCTGGATTGGTCACAATTTGCGGCGGCATCCGCGAGGCAATCTCTGGACGCAACAGACTGGTAAGTAGATGCATCATTTCCGCCAGTTTGGTTTCCATAGCAGCAATCTTTCTTGCAGTCTCCTGCCCGACACAGCCGTCCTCACCATTGCCACAGGAACGCATCGCAGCGCCACCGGCAACAATGCCTTCATCATCAATCCGCCCAGCAGGCCGCCGCTGATGTTGTTGGTGCTGTTGTTGTTGTTGCTGCTGTTGCTGCGGCTGGCGACGATGACGACGCTGCTGCTCCTGTTGTTGTTGTTGTTGTTGCTGCCGTGATTGTTGATGCTGGCGCTGGAATGGCTGAGGACTGGCCGCGTCATTGGAATTGGCATTTGCAGCCTGCTGTCGATCCAAAGGGAGTCGCTGTTCATGTTGGTGCTGCCGCTGCCGCTGCTGCTGCTGCTGCTGCTGCTGCCGATTTTGGCCACGGCGATGGCTCTGCCGGCGTTGATGTTGGCGTGGCTGCAGCTGTTGCTGCTCCCCGGATGACTGCTGCAAAGAAGATCGCCAGCCCTGGCTCCTCCTGCTCACCCGCATCGCCATGATGTGCGACCTGAGGCGACTCCTAGCCCCCTTGTATGCCGGACATCCCTTATAGGCGCTAATGTGGGCACCCTGGCAATTGGCGCATTTGGACGGCAGATGCCTTGGCTTTGTGCATGTGATGGTTGAGTGCGGGCCGGCACACTTCATGCAGACGAAAGCCCTCCTGCAGTAGTTGCGAGTGTGGCCTAGGGATTGGCAGCGGTGGCACTGCACGGGATTGCGCGGAGTGGCTTGGCGCTCTATTGTCACCGACCGGCCACCAAGTTCAAGGAGCGCGAGAACCGAGTAATGGCCACGCTCTGGTTTTGGCGAGATGACGGCCTCGAAGATGCCATTGCTGCTGCAAGCTGAGGCCGAAACATCAACATTGCCGCCTACGCCGCTACTGTTGTTGTTGTTGCCACTGGCACCATTCACGGGCCGAGCCCTAATAAAAACGACATTATAACCCAACTCCTGCAGCTTTTCCTTGATCCAGTGGGTAGGAGTGGCATTGGGGAGACGGTGGATCAGGAGCCTGAGGCCACGCTCCTGGCTGGGCTGGTGCGTAAAGTGGCCATCGGGTGGTGGGGGGCCGCCGCCGCTGCTGCTACTGTTATTGGCGTTGGTGTTGTTGATGTTTATGCTGTTGGTGGTGGCAGTGTGAGGATTGGCAGCGGCAATGCTGAGAGCGTGAATGGGCATGGGATTGGCAGCGATGGCAATACGTGTTGGCAGCAATATATTTGGATTTGGATTTGGATTGGCGGGGGAGAGGGGGCGTTTTGGAGGGAGCCTGACGGTGGCTGGCTAAGCAGCTGTTGTTGTTGTTGTTGTCGCTGCTGCTGCATTTGCTGCTGCAATTGCTGCTGTTGTTGTTGTTGTTGCTGCTCCTGCAATTGCAGCTGTTGTTGTTGTTGCTGGCGCCGCAATTGGCGACGCCGTCGAACCACTTTAGGTGCCGGCCCCAGATCCTCATCCTCATCACCATAGTTGGCCTCGTCGTCGTCGTCATCAACAACGACGCCACCATCGGCGCCGCCACGCCTACCAAGATCAGCAAGCAAGGTACGCTTCCTCTTCCTCACGCTTGCCCCGCCCGCACCCAATATCGAGCACGTCATCGAACTCGAACCAGGCTCGAGGTTGGACAAGCCAGCCGTACCAGCCACTGTTGTTGTGTGTGTTGGTGTGGGTGTGAGTGCATTTGCAGTTGTAATGGCTTGGGCGAGAGCACTCTCAGCAACCTTTTGGCGAGTAGTGGGGAGAGCAGAGCAGGCCAGAGCCGAAGCCGAAGGGCACTGACCGCGACCAGAGTTCAGCGCACCCACGCATGCGCTCTCCGATGATCGTCGTCTCTGCTGTCGCTGCTGCTGGCTGCGCTGCTGCTGCAGCTGCTCACGACGACGACGATGCATTTGTAGTTGCTGTTCCCTCTCCCCATCCCCATCGCTTATCTCCATACTCCCACTGGCTGCACACTTGGACACTGGTGGCAGCAGAATAACTGCATTGGCATATGTGTGTGCTGGTAATGGGGAGACAGTGGTGGGGGGCAAGTGAGGGAATGTAATAGGCGGGCTTTTTGGCATCATATCGGCCACTCTCTTTGTGCTTGGCGGGAGATTCCCAAAGATGACCTTTGGGACGCAGGGTAATGGCTGTGCTGGCTGCACTCTCGTCATCTCACGCACAAGCACCTGTGTGTGTGTTGGTTTTGCTGCCGCTGGCCCGGAAGCCGGCACCTGCTCAGGCAGAGCCATCGTCGTCGGATTCGCTGCTTTTGGTTGTGGTAGTGGGGGCGGAATAAGCGCCAAAGACGCTGCAGCTGCAGCCGATGCTGCCATGGCCTCCATCTGAGTCATCACTGGCGATGATGGCGATGCTGCCGTTGTTGTTGTTGTTGCAGTTGTAGTTGCTGCTGCTGCTGCTGCTGCAGCAGGCGTCGGCGTACATGTGGATGCCGCCGGCCTGTGGCTAGTACAAGGAGTGGCAATAACCGTGCAATCAAACTCACCGTCACTCGCAGAGGAGGAGTCTGAATCGGACGTGGTTATGGAAATGGTGGTCGACAGTTCAATTTGCCGGGCGTCCTCAACATTGGCTGCAGCGGCTGCATTTGCATTTGCGGCAGCAGTAGTGGTGGTAGTTGTAGTGGTGGTAGTGATGATGGCGTCATCAATCACTGCTGCAGCGGCCAAGTGAGTATTGGCGCCTCTCACGCTTCTTCTCCTTGTTGTAGTTGCTGTTGTCGTCATCATCATCATTTCTTCTTCGTCGTCCATTTTAGTTGCTGCTGCTGCTGCTGCTGCTGGCCTCTTGCCGGTCGTCTCTCTTGTCCTCGACATATCGTCTTGTTGGTGGATTGGCATTGGATTCGTTGAGTTGGTATTGTCTTGAGATTAGTGGCAGGTATGCGACCCACTCCCCGACCCGTTACCGATCAATTAAAGCAACGCGTTTGGTATTTTAGTTGTTGTTGTATTTTTGTATATTTTTGTATATTTTCTTTGGATCAATTTGTTTCGTATTGGCTTAGTTTTGATTTAGTTGCAGTTTTAATTACAGTTTTTTATACATTTAGGTATACAAGTGTACGTATTGGACGCATGCACTCACACAAAGACAGTGAGAGGGGAATGAGAGAAGACACACACATGCACAGAGTCACAGGCACTAAGCACACACTCGTCCAAAATGGAGAGAGAGAGAGAGAGAGAGCGGCGGCACAGAGTCGTTGGGTCAGAACGGCGTGGGAGACAGAGACGACGATAGAGAGAGACACGACGAGACGGCGATAATGAAAATTGGCAATGGCGGCTGCGCGTCTGTCTGTCTAGCTGTCTGATTTTTTCACTTTTTTCCTCCCTTTTTTATTTGGTTATTTGGCACTCCACACACACAATATACACATATATATATATCTGCATGTACATAAAAGCACCATGGCACTGCCTACGTTGTCTATATATTCTCGTATTCGTTTCCGGCTCTCAGTTTTTGGTTTTTGCAGGCACCATCTGTATGGTTTGATTGGTTTTGGCTGTCGGTATATATTTCACCGTTTTGGCTTGGGCAATTTGGATTTCGTTTTCAGTAACTGGGGAAACAAAAATTGAGGCAAGCACCATGTACACGCTCACACATACACACACACGCATGCCCACGATATATATATATATACATATATGAGTCTGACTGTTATTTTTGCTGTATTGGGGGAGGCAGTGTGGGAAGAAAAGAAGCAAGACACAAGACACAAGACTGTCCACCGTCCACTATATCACAAGTTCATGGCGAGCCAGGCGACGACGACGACCCAGAAGCGAAATAAAATGGCGACGCGACCCGGAACTCGACTCGAAGAAAAACTATCAGACGTCCGAAGGCAAACGCTGCCAGAGATCAACTATATTTCGGCGATCGATCTACTCCACTCAGTCGAGCCCGACTCCAAACCAAACTGGCGCAGCATCAGCAGCAGCCGAAACTGCTCGTGAGCCGAGGGCAAAAGGGCAGCCGAAAAATAGAGAGAGAGAGGATGTAGGTTCACTCATACGG